CTTTGTATCATGAGAGTTCCTCAAGACAGAAACTATTATATCTATTTCTCAAAGTGTCCAACACAGACTTGATGGGGTTTGGGAACTAATGAATACTACACTCTGACTCTGAGAGCCTGGGATTTCTGACTCTACGGATTCCTTCTTCTACTTGCCTTTAGAGCTCTAGTAAGTCAGCTGATTATACTTTGAATATCTTTGATGGTTAAGGTCACTGATAGCGCCATTAAAATGTTTCCCTTCCATTTTTGCCTATTTTGACCTCAAGATTCAGAATGATTTTAAGTGTTTTCTATTCAAGTTTGAAAAAAAAAAAAAGCAAGAGTCAGATAAACAACTAACCGGAGATTACTGAATGAAGTACTTAATTGTGCCTGTTTTTATATTTTTAAAAAATCTTTCTTTAAATGGTCTGTTCTTCCAAAAATGTTATACTAATGCTATTTAACATGCTTAGCTGTTTAAATGTGATCTGGTGCTTTGAGATTTTAGTTAATATATATTTGAGTACAAATGATTGCTAATTTTTTTTTACTAACCCAGCTTACAGAAAGTCTGGCATTTCAGATAACGAGGTTATAAAGCAGACCACTCATTGAGCAGACACAGCTGCTGTCTAAACCACAGGCACTTGAGTAGTTTCCTACTGAGTAATAGCAAATATCTGAGGACAAAATAACAGTACCATACCCCTTCTGCCTCCTGGGCAGATGTGGACACCTGTATCCTCTGACAGTTGTGCTAGGATGGGCAGCAACTCCATCTCATGCTTATTTGTATTCCTGGTAATGACTACCATGCCACAAAAAAATAAAAATACAACAAGTGTCTTTTAAAATCAGACTTACTCTATAGCCTGAGTCATGCAATGATTTTATAGACAATTTGAGTCAAGTAAATACCAGGACCAGAGGGGTTCCCATTAGTGCTGAGGTCTTTCTTCTATTTGAGCACAGAGAATCTCTTATCTCGGGCTAGAAATATTTATAGAGATAGACTCCCTGATGCATATCTGGCCCCAGGCTCTCCCCACCTGTCAGGAGCCTCCCATGCCAGGAGGTAAGTACTGTGGCTCCCTTCCCATTCGCTCAGCTTCCATGTAGACTATTCGAAGAGTGCCATCTGCAGGATGAACTGAGGACCATAAGTACTTCATTCATTTCCTTCAAATGACAGTTGAAGAATTTGTTTAAAACGTGTTCAAGAGCTCATAGACACAAAACTTAAGGTAATGGTTTGCTACACTAATTCTTCTCAGGTATAATTTATGTTTACTATTGTCTTAAATCTCACTACACTATCTCAAGAGTAGAGGCGTATTTGTTCCAGGACTTCACGCTGCCCTTGGACCTCTCCCTGTGGGCAGCCCTTTTCTCTGCTGGAGGGGGCTTGCTCTTCCCTGCAGAAGAGCAGAAACCCAGGGGCTGTAACAGGTGCAACAGCTCTCTTCCTGCTTTGGTTCAAGACAATTTTTAACCTGAATATAGAGAACAGTGCTCAGAATTTCCTTCTCATATCAGCTTCAGATCAAAGATCCACAAAATCAGAACATTAGAAGAGATTCCTTTGCTGAATCATGACCCTCTGTAGTACTGGCAACAAGTGACCCCTCCACCCCCCAGCCTCCCACTTCTCACCATTTGCAATACCCTTCCTGACTATATCTCTTAGCCAGCAACCTCAAACAAACAAGCAGCAAGAGTTTCCATGCTTTGGTTTTTAGCATTGATCTCTGATTCAAGAATTGTCTAATCCTGATTAAATCCACTCCTCCTCTCCCAGTGGCCCTCACCTAATTGAGAACAGAAGCAGGAGAGAACGCATGCCCTTTCCTGCCTGGATCATCTCTTTTCTCACCACTTGAGTGTGATGATCACATTGCACAGAACAAAGTAGGTCTGAGGCTGCTGACAGCCCATCTGCCTTTGCCAGTCAAGTTGGTTTTCCAGTGTGGACTACCAATGCCAGGATGCTAGGCAGCTCCACTGCCTACTCCCTTCCCCAGAGTAGGGATGAGAAAACAAAGCAGGATTTATTACCAGACTATGAGACTCCTCTCTAGACACCGATTTACAGGGCAATATGGCAACCTCATGGCCCCTCGTTAATGTGCTCCCTTTGTTGTCCATATCTGTCCCCATTCCAGAGGAAACACTTCTAAAAGCATGAGTCTTTTAGAAGGTAGAACTCTCCTCTCCTAAGAAAGACACTGTCTTATCTGAAAGCAGGGACAGGGAGATGTGGATTATAAACAGATTACTCATTGGCAGAGCCTGGGAAAGGCTGTGAATGCATGTCAAATGGGATGGCCCCATTTGGCCCCACAGCAGCATCTCCTCTCCACTCCCCTCCACTCTTGCTCTTTGTTCTGTACTTTTCCTGGGCAAACCGGCACCTAGAAATGAATTTTACACTCAGGTCCTATACTTCAGTAAGGAAGGACAGCATGAAGTTAGGGTAAAAACATGACTCTGCAGTCAGACAGCCCTGAGTTTGAATCCTAGCAGGGCCAATGGGAAGAAGAATTTTCTGAGCTTTCGTATCATCTTCTGTAAAACAAGGCTACTACAATCCATCATTCAGGATTGGTGGGAGACAAAATACATAATAGAACCATAAGCTCCCAAAAATGTGTCCATTCTTTCTTTAGCATGAATTTAAAGGAATGTGTCTCCGCTGCTGATTGAATTGCACGGTTCCACGTGAAAGGCTTATCAGGCACCAGTGAGAAGGTAGGGGAGCACTTGGGAGAAATGGGGTTAGAGTTTGGGTGGCAGCCAGGCTTGCTCAGTTGTAACAGCACACAAAACAACAGCTCCCTCAAGGACCTATAACCAAGGCTGGTATTGCCTCTGAGGCTCCAGCAGGAAGAAGGCGAGGGGGGCTGGTTGGCTCAGGGTTGTGGGTGGCTCTGCAGACGTCCTTTCTAAGTGAGGAAGGGCATAACAGGATAACCAAAGGGCAATAACACCACAGCTATAGGATGGCTCCATTCCAATAGACTGTCCCAGATACCACAACCCCCACTCTCAGCAGACAGGGCGTCCATGTGGCCCTCTCCCATCCTTTGCCATCTGACAGAGAGCAGAAGCACCCAGGATGCCTGGACACTCAGATATTTTGGGTCATGCCATATGCATACATGGCCTGTCTATGTTACATTGGCATAATCCAGCCCATTCCGTAGAAGGCCCTTGTATGGATGAGGTTTGCTTTTTTGTTCTTGTGATAGTAGTAAAATACACAAAATATAAAGCTTTTTCAGTTCAGTGACATCAAATAGATTCACATTGTTGTGCAACCATGACTACTGTGCATCTCCAGAACTCTTTATAAGGTTGAAACTGTATCCATTAAATAACTCCCTATTCCCTCCCCTGCCCACCCCCCACTCCAGCCCCTGGCAACCATCATTCTACTCTCTGTCTCTATGAATATGACTACTCTAGGTACTTCATATAAGTAGACTAATATGTGTCCTTTCATGCCTGGCTTATTTCACATGGCATAATGTCCTCAAAATTCACCCATTTTGTAGCGTGTGTCAGATTTCCTTCCTTTTTGGGGTTGAATAATAGTTCGTTGTTTGTAGGGACCACATTTCATTTATCCTTTCATCTGGACACTTGGGTTGCTTCCACCTTTTGGCCATTGTGAACAATACTGCTATGAACATGGATATACAAGAATCTCTTCACATCCCTGCTTTTAATTCTTTTGAGTATATATATATATATATATAAAAGTAGGATTGCTGAATCATATGGCAATTCTATATTTAATTTTTTGAGGAATTGCCATAGAGTGACTACATCACTTTATTTTCCCACCAACTGTGCACAAAGATTCTATATGAGGCTTTCTTTATTGCATAGGTTGGGTCTAATCCATCTGTATTCCCTGCTTGAGGTCACTAGTGACTCAGTCTTTCTGGCACCTGCCGGGCCTCTCACTTCCCAGCATTCACTTGCAGCTTCTCTAGAGATGTAGGTTGCTCCCACCACTTTCCTGTCCTCTAGCAGATTCCTTTGGTTCTTGGCAGGGGTTCACCTTTTGCACCCACAGCTCTCCCACAGCTTTGTCTTGAGCTGGGGCCCCCTTGCATGAGGGTTGGCACTCTGCACAATGCCCAGTGTGACACCCACAGTGAGGACTGTCCACATGGTGGGATCAGAGCCAGGCCTGGTTAAAACTGTGGCAAACCCTAGCTTTGTCATCCTCCCTTCTGCCCCATACTGATTCCCTCTCAGATGGCGCTTCCCTGATTCATTCTTAAGTCTTAGTTTCCACTGCAACTGATCACGCCCGACAACATAACTGGACAGAGTAGTATTTCATTTTGAAGATGAAGATGTTCAGGATCCATTAGAGAACTCCCCCAAAAGAGAAACATAAGAGAGTTAGGATAAAATTGGGGGGCTGGAGGCTCAGAACAAAAAAGCCCTCTTATATCACTCTGCCATGAACTCAAATGGTCAAGGCTTCTCATGGCATCTTTGCATAATTAGAAAAAATGCCCTTTTGGGGATCAGGAGCATCGCTCAGCTACAAGACTGAATACTATGCCATATTCTCCAGGCACATTCAGCCTTGTGGATACACGATGTGGTGAAGAGGTGCATCTCTTCCTCCAGGTCCTAGAAGATACACAGCTTTGCAAGCAGAGCTAATGCTGATTTTCAGCTCCCACTTGCCACTATAAGCAATAGTTCTGGGCCACTGGTGTTTCTAACAGCAATTCCTTTTGCCATTACCACCTTGTGTACAAGGCCTTTACAGATCATGCGGGCAGGAAGATCTTCTCTGAAGACCATAAACAAGGGCCTATTGATCACTCGCCCAGTGATCCAAGAGCAGACAAGGGTCTCCTTGCATCAGGCAGGAAGGCAGCCCAGAAACCACCAGCCTATCAACCCAACATGCCTCACCAAATACCAAAGCCCCAGCCCTGGCCTCCCTCGCCCAGCTCCACACACATACAACCACACACAGCATCTCACCTGGGCCACCTCTTCAAAGTCATCATGTCTCTTCTGCAGGGCCCGGGCTCGATGCAGGGACTTCCCAACCCCGGTGTGTTTGCTGAGAAAGGCCTCACCGTGGTTTTCAATCCAGTCCAACACCTGGTCAGAGAGAAGGATGACAGAAACAATGACTCCCTGGCAGAAGGAAAGCCATGTGACAATATGAGTGACCACTAGAGTCCTAGAGTTCCCATCCCAATCAGAAAGCAGCAGTCCAGCTGGAAACGTTCACTCCACCGTGGATCCAAGGATTTCATTACTGTCATTGCTCATGTAGCAATCCCACCCTTAGCTAAATTCAACTCATCTTTGATCTCTGGAATATCCCCTCATTATTCTTTCAGTTTTCCCAGCCTTAATTATTATTTTAAACAAGCTACACAGACCATCAGGCACAGTTTAAACCCCTCATTACCTTTACTCCACTCACATAAAGTCAAAAGTCAAAAGTCAAAAGTCAAGCACGCTGGTGGAAAATTAGGCAGCATGAGGTCAGGGCAGTTCCTTGGCCCTCATGGCTTACTCATCCCTCACTTTACCATAAAAGCACTCAGAGCAGAGGCAACTAGTCATGGGGACCCTGCCTCCTCGAGCTCCTGGGACTCCCTTCCTAATTTTGAGGGTACAGTCCACACTGGTTAGTCACCATCTGGTCGCTCAAGAGAGTGATCACTAGGACGACTGTCCTTTCTGGCTTCTTTCCACTTCTCTCCTCCAATCAGCACCAACCAACCAACCACATAAATTAGGGTCTTTACATCCTAAGGCCTTTAGTATCTATGATTCTCTCCTGGAAAGAAGTGGAGACCCCATGTTTTTCTACGCTTAAGATTAGTGATTTGGCCTCAAGACATTTTCCTCAGTAGTTAGCCTGGAACAGAGGTAGCTGGAGCAGTAGAGGGATGAGGGAGAGGGATGCTGAGAAGGTGAGAAAATATGTTTTCCTGAGGGGCTCTGGACAGAGGGAGTGGAAACCCCTTAGTAGAAGCCTTGAAAAGGAGGGAGGACTAAAGCCTTTCACACCTCTTTTGCATTCACGTCAAAGGCCTAACAAAAATGTGTGCCTCCCAGGGAGAAGGGAAACAGTTCACTCCCTGGTCTCCGAAGAGTTGATGCTCAATAAAGCAGGTGGCTAAAATTAAATCAGTTATATAGACACACACCTGTTAGAGATCCTGCCAAGACAACTGAGCTCACTCTATCCCTGCTATTCTGGACTAAACCTCAACTTTTGGTTAATGATGTTTTAGCCTTCTCAGATTCTAGAAGGACTTTTTGGGAAGATGATTTAGATGAACTGGGCCTGTTTAAAATGATGCTTTAGGGTCACCTGGGTGGCTCAGTGGGTTAAGCACCTGCCTTTGGCTCAGGTCATGATCTAGGAGTCTCCTTCTCCTCTCCCTCTGCCTCTCCCCTCTGCTCACATGTGCACACAATCTCTCTCTCTCTCTCTCTCTCTCTCTCTCAAATAAATAAATAAAATCTTAAAAATAAATAAAGGGATCCCTGCGTGGCGCAGCGGTTTAGCGCCTGCCTTTGGCCCAGGGCGCGATCCTGGAGACCCGGGATCGAATCCCACGTCGGGCTCCCGGTGCATGGAGCCTGCTTCTCCCTCTGCCTGTGTCTCTGCCTCTCTCTCTCTCTCTCTCTCTCACTGTGTGCCTATCATAAATAAATAAAATTTAAAAAAAAATAAATAAAAAGATGCTTTAGTCCATTCCTCTGTTTCTTCTACAGACTGCCCTGTGGCAAGCAGACAGACCAAATCATTCCATGGAGTATAGGCATGGGAGTTCTGGCTCCAAAGAATCTAGTTTTGGCTTCACTTCCTCCACCATGTGCGATAAATTACACCTGCAATTGTGCAAAGTACGGAAGCTTTCGAAGTCTTCGGTGACACTATCACAAAGCCCACTACAAGATTGGTATTAGATCAGAGAAATGTATGTATGAATATAAAAATGAGATTTAACAAATATCCCCTTAACAAAACTGGAATGTCAGATAATGGCCCATGAAAAAGGAGAAAAGAAAGGCTTCTTAGGGAATGACCATATAAACAGTGGATGTAGAGATTTAAATATTTTACATAACAATTCTCGCAATATATGATTTTAATATTCCAGAGGCATATCTGTAAAAAGAAATTGCAGTAGTAAATGAACTGGATTTTTACCTTTCACAAATACTGAAAGGCAGCACTGAAAAGAACTCTAAATGTTCCTTTTATAGAGGAAAGAAGAGCTCACATCTCTCTAGAATCATTTATGGGGAAATTTCAACAGCCACAACAACAAAAAATCAGGAGAGTGCATTTTCATTTGACTTGACACAATGTGATCCCACAATTTTCTGTTGTAAAGAGGATATTGAGCATCAGCACGCAAGGTCAAAGACAAATATTTCTAGTCACAAAGTTTTCCATGTACTGTGTACCATGGATAGCGTGGTTTTGCAATTTTTATGCGTATTTAAACTTGTATTAATCCCAGATAGTGAAGCTTATGAATAGTTTTGATAATTTTGATATACAAAAGAGCCATCATGTGGCTTTTCATGAATGCTTTGGAATTTATGACAGATTACTCAGATTACGATTATTTACTTATTCAGTTGAGAGCAGTTAAGTGCGACCTGCTTGTCCGGCAATGTTTTAATGAGTTTAATTTCTTTCATATCATTTTGTATCTCTAGCTTTGATGAAATGTGTTATGCTGAAACAAACTGGTTTAAGAGAAAAGCTTTCCATCTACTAGTTAGCAAATGGTTAGCTTTTATACTGCCTGGGGGTAATTTCACAACTTGTAAATGTTTTTAAAAAAGCAATTTGTGTCCTATTTAAGTTCTTTTGCTTTCTTTAAAATGCCAATTCATTGTCAGTTAATGACACTTAAGTTTACTTAATTAGCTCTACCTTAACCTCTTAAAAATCTATTTCATATCTGAGAGGCTTTTATTAGTTTAAACATAACTTTGATTGCTCTGTGATGTTATATCGTCTCCATTTAGTCCAGCTTCTGCCATCAGAGCCAAAGCTGTGGGGAACACATGAGCAACCTTGGTGAAGATGCAGCGACTGCGTGGAAATCAATTCAACAAATAAAAAGGCAAATGATTTAGGGTGTGAACAAAATTACTTTAATAATCCATAGAAACTGGAAAAGTACTTGAGGTTAGAAAAACATCATCACTCTATGAGGTAGTGTTTAAAATGTTGATGTCAGGGATCCCTGGGTGGCGCAGCGGTTTAGCGCCTGCCTTTGGCCCAGGGCGCGATCCTGGAGACCCGGGATTGAATCCCACGTCGGGCTCCCGGTGCATGGAGCCTGCTTCTCCCTCTGCCTATGTCTCTGCCTCTCTCTCTCTCTCTCTCTCTCTCTGTGTGTGTGACTATCATAAATAAATAAAAATTAAAAAAAATAAAATGTTGATTTCTGACTGTTTCAGACAGTTCACTGAGAGCCCCCCTTACTTGACACACATGTTTAGACCACATGCTCTCTTGACCCTGATTCCATGTCCCCCAATTCTGGAAGTACAATCTAGCTTCCCCCCTGGACCACATAGCAGAGAAATATGCTTTCTAAGCAGATGCCAGCAATGTCTCATAATTATACTCCATAAATTAATATGCAGCATCAGAAATCTGTATATCTCACAGTTTCTGGTGCATCACAGACTTGGAAGATCCCTGGATGAAGAATAAACTGCATTTCCAGCCAAATCCCTGGAACCCTACTGAAGCATATGCGCCCATCAAGGTACCTCTTATTAGCTATCTGTTTAACTTCTCTCATCTGCAAAATTTTATTTAAAATAATCAACTATCTGGGCACCTGGGTGGCTCATTTAGTTAAGTGTCTGCCTTCTGCTCAGGTCATGATCCTAGGATCCTGGGATCCAGCCCCACATCAGGCTCCCTGCTCAGCAGGGAATCCCTCTGCCTCTCCCACCCCACCCCACCCCCACCACCACTGGCTTGTCCTCTCTTTTGCTATCTCTCTTTCTGAAATAAAAAAATGAAATCTTTAAAAAATAAAACAATCAATTATCAATCTTAGGATGATAGTTAACAATACCCATCAATGGCTTTGAATTGGTATTCAAGTGTTTCCAACCTAGAAGGTGTTATTTTTTAGTTTTTGCCTGTGGGTTCTTCAGGGAGCAAAGGAGCACCTGTGAGATGGGAACATCACTGTATTCAGATACTTATTAGTCTTCCCGTGCCCTGGTGCTGGCACTAGAACAGCCAGGAGGCGGTAGTAAGCAAGGCAGGCGGGATCCTGATTCTGGGAACTCAGTCTATGTCGGGAATGGGCACTGGACAGAGGACCACACAACTGGTCATGAGCTGCAACGGTGAAAGTGCCAACAGTCAGGGAAGGCCTCTCTGAAGAAGTGAGGTTGAGCTGAGCGCTGAGAGCAGGACTTAACCAAGCAGGGAGACAAGCCATCAGCATGGCCTGAGTAGGGGTCAAGCAGGTAACGAGCCCAGAGAAGGCAGGAACCAGACATGCTGAGCCCCGGTGGTGTGCCCAGTGGGATTTCAGGGCTCATCCTAGGAGCCACTGAAGGGCTGCTGCAAAAGGAGAAAGAGCTGCATTTAAAAGCTATTATCTTTGCTCTGTGGAGAATTGGAGGAAGGTGAGAATAGAGGTGGGAAAACAGGACATTACTGCAGAAATCCTGACAAGAGTTGATGCTGGCTCAGATGAGCCCAGGGGCATTGTCCATGGAGAGACAGATGTAATATTCGGGGCAGAGAATGGCCAGGATTTGGTGGTTAGGGATGGGGACAACAGGGAGGCAGGCGGATGGCTGACCCCCCTGGGGCATGGTTTGAATAAAAGCATGGGTGGAGGATCTGGTCACTGGTGCAGAAGCAAAGGAGTTATGAGGGACAGCACAGAGATAACAGATTTTTCTGGTTTTCTTTCCATTTTCATAGTCACGCTCTGGTTTTGACAAATGGCAGTTATGCCTGTGAACTTGAGTGGGAAGCAGCACCCAATGATAGCTGTCAATCTGATTCTGGCAAGAGGTGCCCTTAGTTACAAAGGAGCGATTTTATACACTGAGGTTTAAAAAAGAATTTATAG